CCACTAAGGATAATGATGGACCTAAGGTACATGAAGGACTGGCATGCGCAGCTTTGTCATCGCTTTACTGTACAACTAAAGCCCAGCTAACGCTGAGGCCGGGTCCTAGTCCCGTGGTAGCAGCTGAGAGTAGAAGAGCGATGGCGACCTACGAAGAGCAGTTGGCCGATTTTTGGGGCCGCCAGCTTTGGGCGGCCGTCATCAGTCACGAGTCGATAGGCTTCCAAGAGTCGATTGACGAAGGAGAGTTGCGAGCACTTTTTCAGTACATGCCGGTGCAAGTGGCTGCTCACAACTGCTTTGAAACGGATCGATATCCAGGGCTCAACCGAGTGGCAGCATTGACGCAGTCTGGCATGTCGCAGCTAAAGCCCGATGAAAATCGAGGCCGAAAGCGGGTGCTCATCCTCCTCTCCGACTCTACGACTGTTTTCGTTGCTGGCAAGAGAACGAGGACAGACCTTTCCTCGGATTTGAAGGCAGCGAGCTCGGGGGTCTATCTGCAATACAGGGAGATAATTTACGAACCCCTGTGGGGCAAAACATTGTCCGAACTTCGGGAGAGGGCTCAGATCCTCTGTGACCAGACGGCTCTGCGCTACTCTGGCGACCAAGAGTTGCTGGTGGACGTGCAGATTGTCTGGATGGCGAATGAGATCGTCGGCAGATACGGGATATTTTGCAGCCCCGGCGTCCCGACGTGGTGGGACCATCAATCGCCCATAGAGGCCCGCGGAGATTGGCAAAAGATCTGTCGGAGAGTTTGCCAAAATCTTGAAGCGCTTGCAGACCTGCAGCGCCGTTCTCCATATGTGGGGTCCATTGTGATATGCACAGGAGTTCGCAGCTTCGTCTACGGGTTGCCAAAGCAGTTCGATGAATGCATTGCGCGATTCAAAGACGAAGCGGTCCGTAGAGGACTCGCCGCCTGTGACATCCACCCCTTCCTTGGAGATTTGGCGCTCTATAACGACAACGTCCATTTCCGCGAGGACAGTGAATCCCGCCGCAAGATGGTTTCGGGTTTAGCCCACATCATGCAGATCGAGATCGCCGAGCGCTACGCCTCCAGAGCGATAGCGAAAATGGGCGAAGCCGCCTTCCAATCACTGCTTGCTGACAATTATTTTGATTCCCGTGGTCGCTACGCAGTCGATAACCATGTCCTGCAAGCGGCTCTTGCGAGGATGACGAGAAGCAAGCAAGTCAAGGCGGAGCCAACGGAGGAGGATCCGTGGGACGACGCATACTGGGAGGAGAAGCGTGACGAAAGTCACGCCGAACTGCCTGCGCCTGAGGTCCCCGACTTCCTCAAGGAGATGAAGATTCAGAACGTCATCAGCGTCGCACCCGGTGTGTTCGCAACAGAAGAGGAGATCAATTCGCCGGAATGGAACAAAGCCCCACCTAAGGTGGAGGCCGTTACCCCGGCGAGTACTGCAGCTTCGTCTTCTGGCGATATTCGACCGATGCCGATCGACGCATCCATTTATGGTGGAGGCATTCTGTCTGGCGACTCTGGCACCGAGCACGCTGCAAAAAGAGCTCGCCTCGCAAAGGCTGAGGCCGACAAGCAGCGATTGACCAAGCTCGCAGTGCAGGGATCGCGCGGAATGAGGTTCATGAACGACACCTATGACTTCGCCGAGATGACTGGCATTACCCTGTATGATTACTGGAACGAATGCCCCTCGCAAGAGGAGGCCGACCAGTACATCGAAGTGTTCCAAAAGGACATGACGCCAGGCCTACACTATCCGAGATGTGATCACAAAATGGTTACATTCGTCACTGGACTCATCAGAGGAAACTTCGAAAACAAGGGTAATCAATTTAAACTGCGATCGTGGAGCGGGCCATGGGTATTGGCCATGGAAGTGCTTGAGGTTGCCAATCGATGCAGACCTGGAAACAACATTGGCCTGGGAAGCCTCCTCGACATGATCGCTACCGACAACAAACAGCGCCTTATGTTTCGCGGGCCAATGGACAGTGCTGCCGATGCAATTGGGCAACCGGCTTTTCCGGTCTACGTCGGGTGTACGCAAGGCCACTCCAGCAATCTGCAGCTCGACAATGCCTCTATTGCAAAGGCATATCTTACGCTGCAGCGTTCTGAGGAGCTGGCTAATGCCGCCCGAGAGGGCAGGCCGTTGATCCCGATTGACAAGGCGCCGCCCAGGCTCTATCACCGCACAACACATGATGCGGCGTATGCGATTCTGGAAGATCGTTTGTTGCCGGGTTTTGGGGGTTCTGAGAAGGCGCATTGCTACTTTGCGCCGCTGCCGCTCGAGGAGCAGAAGGCACGTTCAGGACTCCGTGCGAGCTCACCGATCGAGATCGTCTTTGACACTCGGGAGGTCCTCGAAGCTGCTTGCGATCTATTCGTCACGGAATCGGACGGCATATTGTGTTCCGAAGCAGTGCCAGGATCAACAATCCTATTCATCAACGATACTCAGCGCGATGTCGTACTCTGGTCCCGTGCAGGGGGCACTGTACCTCCTGACGAAGAGCAGGGAGAAAGCCCAGCTAACGCTGAGGCCGGCATCGACATCGTTCTTGATGAACCCGAGCCCGAGGAGACGACTCAGGACAATTTCGCACCGCCTATTGATGAAGAACATGGTACCCTTCCAGCTGAGGAAACGTCCCTGCCGCCTATTCCAGATGTTGCTGATGTGCTTGAGGGATCGTTGGCTATCACCGATGCCTCTGCAAAGGCTGACGACGATGAAGCCCCTGATGATGAGCAAATGCCCTCCGTAGAGGAGAGGCCGCTTGTTGAACCAGGCACCATCATTGCACAGCCGGGTCCTCCAATCAGGACCGTGTACATCGGTGACGGAATGGCGACAACGGTGACGCTGGATGCTGAGGGTACACCAGTTGAAGCAATCCAGGAGCCGGTGGGAAGGCCAGAACCAGTACTTTATGCTGGTAGTGAGACAAAGCCATCCGCCGCGTTTTTGGAGAAGATCAAATGCTACCACTGCAAAGCTGAGTGTCTTCAAGGCCAGAGGATTTGCTCTCAATGCGGAGGGCCAGTTCGACCAGGTCAATTGAAGGCACAGGGCAGACGGACGCTGTTGGCACGTGGGCGTGAAGCTCTGCTTCAGGAGATGGGTGATGCCGCTGAACGAGTGGGAGTGAGGCCAAGCCTTCAAAGCGCATCGAAAGATGTCGCCGGCCGTGGCATGAACTCCTTAGAAGGCGAGGTTATTCGGAAAGCCAAAGTGGCAAAGCAGAGGGCCGTGAAAAAGGGCTACACTGATTGCGTAGCGAGGTTCAATCATGACAATGAATACGCAATTTCAATGGCCAAAGAGGGATACACGCGCAGGACGATTCGTGCCCTCGACTGCCTCTGCTTCGCCTACCTTCCGAACCCTGGCCGCACTCGATCGCAACGCATGCTGGCTATTGGATCCTCCAGAGCGGCGAGTACCACGCACCAGATCCGCACGGACGAGGTTCCGGAGTGTCGTATCGTTTTCTTTACCGGAGACGATGGCATTGGCGGCAAGTTGTGCGCAGCGGGACTAACGTCCACGCCGGAGGATACGCCAGTAGCATTTACTTGGTACGGAGCCATCCTTTCGTTCCAAGATTTTGCTCACAACATCGCCAGGCAAAAGGGGGGCATCCGTCTACAGACTTTTGGCCACGGCAAGGTGGATCTTCTCAACTACGATCCCGCTGCAGTGGGTGCGGACCTACAGACCGTTTTGGCAAAGGACCTACCCTTCATGGTGGAGACGGTTGATGAGACCATCAAAAAGGCCAATCAAAGTCGTGCTGCCCAGCCGAAGTATGCCCAGCAGCATCCGCCAGGTGGTGGCAAGGGCTCTACGTATGCCCGAGCAGCAGAGAAGGGAAAAGGCAAACGCCCGGCTAACGCCGAGGCCGCCGATCGCACCGACCGCGACTGGGACTGGGATGATCAATCCTGGTGGCAGAATTGGTCTTCGTCATCCTGGGGATCATGGCGCGGCCAGAACTGGGACAACCAGGACTGGCGTGAGTGGCGCAATCGCGGATGGCGTTGGTACTGATAAGCCGACCCAGTAGTCTGATTCTTTCGAGCAAGAGGGATGTTCACCCGGCCTGTGATATTTTTCAAGTGGCTGTGCGGCGAACTCCTATCGTCCTTGCTCCACGCTGAAACCAGCGTCTTGCATTTGAAGAAAAGCTCGTATGCAGTTTTCGCACCCTTCCTCGAGGCACACGATAGTCACATGTACTTTTGCTGATACAACTGATGACGCGGGAGGCAACTCCACGCCGATCGTCGAACTCCGAGCCGAAGCGCTCTTCCACCTGCAGGCGAAGGTATGCTGTGTTTTTGAATGCAGTGACCGTGCCTTTAGGTGAGGGGGGTGTAGTTTTGCATCGCAGCTTGCGTAGGAGTTTGTATGGTCGTGTACAGTCATCATGTTGTGTACTATATACCGCTGACTATTGTGCCCAAGCCCTCTGAGTAAAAGGTTAGCGCGACCGCTCATGGCTTAACGGTTTTGGTGTATTCTATAATAGTTAGTAAGGGACCCCCAAAATCCTATTCTAATTATTAATTTGCCAAGGCCTCTACAGTATGGGGGCCTCCGTTAGGGTTTGGGGTTCAAGGGCTCTGTGCCATGGGTTTGAATGATCATGTGAGTACGGCTTGGGTGCCAGGTCCTGTGCACAGGGGTGGGGGGTGGGGGGGTCTAGGGTTTCTATACCTATAGAAGTAGAGTAGGGAACCTTTAGCCATTTTTGGGTAGTATAGCCCCTATATAATCGATCCTTGTATAACCAAACAGTTCAACTTAGTTCCCCATGATACCCGACAAGTAGGTAGAGTTCTGAGAAGTCCCCAAATGCCTAGACAACTAGGCACCAGATGTCACACTTGGGGCTTAGATGCTTAGGGTTTCCTCCACTCCAGACACCAATCGTAGGGTCCTATAGTGTTCGTTCTGCGTGGCTTTTGTTTTCCCCGTGAACCTCGCGAGGCATGACGCTCGGGACGTTGAGTGAGCTTCGAGCGGCCTACGAACAGGAGGCCCCAAGCAAGTCCAAAGCCTCTTGACAGTAGGCGACCCGGAGAGCGCCAGACCCCCTCTTTGCCGAAACCCTTGAATCCTAATGTAGGGGCGTTAACAAATAGAACAGGGTCTTGGGGGTTCCTTAATTATATTAGTTTAATATATACCAAACCCTATTCGAATCATTGAGGCCCTTACATCACAGCCTTCACATTGCTGAACCCCTCAGCCAGCTTTCTTCAGGCATCCTTTGCATCACCGAGCTAATGCGCGTCAAAAAGAGAGGGGTCGGTGGCTCTCTGGGTCCACATTTGTTGCTGTTTAGGACCCATTGTGTGGTGTTTAGGTTGAGGTTTTGTATAAAAGGTTCGGTTCGGGATCTGTTACATTGGGCCGAATGTGTCAATCATGGGGTGCTGGACTATGCAGCATTTCATATCTCAACTCCGAAGACAGAGAACGTCTTGATGATTTTAGGCGGGTGGTGAATGTTTTTAAATTCGGTTGCCTGACCACGGAACAACCTTGCTGATGATTGATACTCCTGTATCGAGCAGAGTCAATGTACGGTTTGATGTTTAGTTGGGAAAGCATGGGAACATGGGGACGAGGGTCACCCAGATCGATTCGGAAAATTGTCCATGTCTCCACAAGCGGGATGTGGCGAAACGCAGCGAAAAGAGTGTGCCGGGCTGGGTTTTCCGAAATTCTAGACCAAATTGTGGATCTTGCCTTGTAACCTCCAGACCCCAAACACGAAGTCGTAGGCTCAAGACACTGAACTATGCGGGGCTTCTGCTAGTCCTGCTATGCTGTTTGCTAGCTCATGTCAACCCTAAGCTCTAAACCCTGGTAATCCCTGGTAGCTACCCAAAGGCCCCAAAGTAGTTCCTTTTTGGAGTTCATATATAGAATCCTATAAGGTAATCCCAAAAAGGAGCTACTTTGGGGCCTCTGGGTACACCCGTGATTCTTCAAACCCGCGTCGTCCGGGCGGTCGTCAGTTTCTCGAGCCGGTGTTAGGATGATTACCAAAACCTACTTTTGTGTAGGGTCCCGATAAATTCCATGTACTGTTAGGGTTTCTGAAAAGAACCTACAAAAAAGTACGGTTTGGTAGTTTAAGGTAGTGCTAGGATTTCGCACAATTTGCCTGGAGGGCACGCGGATGCTTTCTGGTTTGTACTGCACTCTAAACCTCAAGCCAGAGACAAAACATGCGCACATGGGCTGCTCTTGCTCATGTCGACAAAGATTTGACAAATTTCAGGTTTAGCGAAGAGGGCAGCGCATTTACGAGCTGATCAGGATAATCCTGTATGACATGCATTGATTCAGAGGTCTGGTGCACCGAGATCAGGCCCTGTTTCGCGTAGACGTTTGGACTGGTCGAAACATCGTCTGGTTGTTGGTCCTCAGCCGTTTCGGAACGCATCCCCGGGCAATCAAGAGATGAACTGTTCCACATTCAAGACACGTTTTCCTGCAGAAAGTCGTCCCAAAACCCAGCGGCTGGTTTCTGCTTGTCTCGCATTGGGATGCCAGGGTTGTTTCGGAACCCCACAGTTTTTGAACTTGAGGCTTCGGTGGTTTCTGGTGTCGTGGCGTCAGTATTGATAGTTATTCAGGACCCTCTATTATAGTAGCCTTATAGATCCCTGCTAGTAACCCCTAAAGATACCTTTAAAGGAGCCCTTTTTCTAATTATTAAGGCCCCTTTTAGTTAACCGCACTCAGCCCTGCCTGTCTAGACCCTCAAGAGACGCAGACCCTTCAAGCAGAGCCTCAACCACTCTAAACCCTGAATCCCCAGACCTTCCCAAAATCCCTAAAATTAATGCATACACCTGAAAATATAGTAGGATCCCTAATATGAATTAAGGCGTATGTGTGTGTATATATATATATATATATATATTCCTTAATTAAGGGGTTTTGGAAGGTCTGAATCCTCAGCCGAAGACCTGGAGCAAGCGAAACAAGTTGGGCTTTCCGCACATGTCGAAGGACACCCAAGACCGCCACACTCTGTGACCGAAGAAGATAAACTAGAAGAGAGCTTGAAATCTGTCAAACTTTCTGGGTTTAGACATGAAGCATGTCAACATGTGCTTGTTCATGTGTAGATTTCGGTACATACACATGTATAGTCATGAATGTATGTGTATATATATATATATATATGTGTTTAGATATACAGGGATGAGAGAGGGCAGCCTCTAGGATCTATGTGGCGCTTCTATTCGAACACACAAAAGCTGTATAAACAGATAGAATAGCTACACTTCCTTTACCAAGAGTTGCTTGTCAGAGCGCCAGGTGGAAGAAGAGGAGGCGGAGAGACCTGGGAAGCGCAAAAAAGGGTTTAATGTGTAGGATTCGGGGCCACTCGTTCCCGAGAGCTCTGGCGTCCGTTTCTGACATCTTGATGGAATAATCTTCAGGGACCCAAAAAGGATATAAGCATAACCATTTCGTGGGGATATCCCTAAAGCCTTTTGGCATCATTATGAGGGGCTTCGTATGGGATATCCCTAACTTAAGTTTTGCTTATGTGTTTTTTTGGGGGGCCCTAAATCTTGTTGTTTGGAGTTTATGTGCGATTCGCGGTTCGGTTCCGCATTGGTGTTCTTATTGGCCTTATGGAATGCATTTGCTGTTTGCAATCTAGACTGGATTGCTATCTTTGGGATACTGCGAGAAAATCCCGACGGCTCGGGTTTAATTGTTGGTGTTGCGGCGCTTAGGGCTGAGGCTTTGCAGTTCTTATTGGAATCCCTGCTGCGGCGCAAGTCATTCACGGAGAACCTCAAACCAGACACAGGTCCTTTGACGAATCTCCTACTTGGAGGCCCTGCTGACTTAGTAAGTCAACTTAGTATCCCCTAGAAACCTTATTATAATCCCTATAACCCACCTTACTAACCCTACTTACTAAGTCAAAAGGGCCTCCAAGTAACGATGATAACACTGCTGGCAGTACGGGCCGTCGCGATGTTGGTGTTCGTCGTGGTCGTGGACCAATGGTATACCACCATGCGAAACCTTATAACACACGTCTGAGGCTGCCTTACAATTTGTTGAAAACAGGGCATCCAACCATGGCAAGAAGCGTATAACCAAGCCAAGATACGACCTTTTGTTGCTGCTTGACTCGTAATAACAACAACACGACTAAGTTACTCAGTAGTAATAGCAACGACAATACTAACAATACCGTCTATAACATCCCTAAACCCTAAACCCTAAACCCTAAACCCTAAAATGGTCGGAGTCCCTGGTGTATCGGAGGTCTTGGGCAGCCTGGGACGGCCACCGGCCCGGCGGCAGCGCCTTGATGTTGAATTATGGGGGGCTGTGGAGTCATTTTTAGACCCGGTTTAGGGTTTGGGGTAAACTCCCGTACCTGAGAAGGGGTTGTAGTAGGGATCCAGACTTGTTGAGGCCCTTGAAGACTTTACTGGGGTCTCTAAACTTAATCAGGGGTCTACATTCAGGTTTGGGTCGTCGCTTGTCGTTCTTACGGGGGGTGGCCGTGTTCAGGCCGTACTATTGCATTGTTTGTGGGGCTGCTATGATCTCTAGTTGTAGCGTAAACCCTCAAACTGAAGTGTGACTTTGGGTCTTGCGGAAGTCTTGAACCCTGGCCTAGTCCCAATGGTTACGTAGTTCGAGCCCCGATTATCTAATTGTTGTCTGTTCCGATTGCCAAGCCCTATGATCCTGCGCGGCTCTGAACATAGAATCCAACTTCTCAGGCTTTTCGTCTTAAGTGCCGCGAAACTGAAGATGAGCGAGGTGATTGCCGGTCAGGCGGGGCTCATGTGTCATAACTCTGCGAAATTCTTGGGCTCCTTCAAGCCACAAAATTGTTGATCAAGGTTTTACATGGCTTCGGTGTTTTGAGTCAAGGGCGTCGTGTTTTTGGAGTGTCCGGGCTTACTGCATGCAGGGTTTACGGGACGTGCACTGAATTGACGACATACGAGACTGAATGCCACAACAGCATCGAGTACAACAGGATCGAGTCTCGAGGAGGCCCTAAACCCCACCCCAAATAGCGACAATCCTCAATCCCTGAAGTTACAATCCGGCATCCCCTGGACCGTGGACGTTTTATCATTGATGTTTTCTCTGGGTGTTACGGGGTTACTTGTGTGGGCGCCATATGTAAACTGAATACTAAATAGAAAAGGGACATCCTCATTTTTGTTGGGATGCTGGAGCGCCTCGCTGTAGGTGAAACCGTAATTCAAGCCTCCAGGCTCTAGAGCCTAAGCCAAGCCGTTAAGTTCGTTTATTTACATTCCTGATAAGTCTACATGTCATGTGGCCCACACCCTGGAAAGAAAAACATGAGAATCATCATGGCTATCCCTAACAACTCACCAACCCTCACCTCCAAGGCCCCAAACACTAAACACCCCTTACAACTAAACAACTAGACATAAAGATGGTGGATAGTGTTGCTAAAACTTTTCACAGTTCATGATAAACCCTACACCCTAAACCCTACTCCCTAAACCCTACTTGAAGGATCATGGGACTTAGTAAGCGAGGTTATGAATAAGGCCACTATACTTATAAGTACTTATAACCCCAATTAAGGTACTTACAGCCTTACTTACTAAGTCCAATGATCTTCCAAGTAAACCCGACACCACCGCCACAACGGAAGTCTGCGCCGGTCCAGGCGGAGGCGGCATCCTTGCGTCAGGCAGGGGCGTGCGAAAAGACCCAGAGATTAGCTTCGGTTAGTAGGGAATGGAGGAATGGGGTACAATTATAACTACTATTACTACCATTCTTCCATTCCCTACTCCCCAAAGGTAAGAGAGGAAGTCAGACTTTTTCAGTTTGGTGTAGTTTAGGGGCCTTAATAGTTAGTATGGGGTTTGGGGCCCATTATTTCATAGGTAATGTAGGGCCTTGATAGTTAGAATGGGATTTGGGGGCCCATTGTACTATACGAATAATAAGGAACCCCAGAAAACAGCATTGGTACTTACTTACACCCCTATAGTAAAGAGTTTGGGCTGGATTC